TGATACCTAATTAGAGATAAGTTTACATCTAACACATGCTGTCGGGTGGTTTGTTCTCGCGAAAACGATCAAGTCTACATATTCAACATCGTAGTACCAAAAATCCATACCTTTTATGTATGTGGGACTTTATCTCCATCCCTAAATAAAAATAAGTCTGCGTCTAACACATGCTGTCGGGTAGCGTATTCCCGTGAAAATGGCAAAGCCCACGTATTTGACATCATAGCAGATTGTTATTAATAATGCTGAAATCCATGTCTTACACGCATGGGGTACATTATCTCGATCCCTAATTAGCTATAAGTCTACGCCTAACACGCGTTGTTAGTTAGTCTTTCGTCGTGAAAAAAGATACCAGAATCTATGCCTGTGGGATATTATCATGATCCCTAATCAGAGATAAGTCTACACCTAATACACGTTATCGGTTAGTCTATTCCCATGAAAAATAACAAGCCTATGTATTTAATATCATAGCACTAAGTCTAAGAGAATTTATTCTTTTAGCACAACGTTATATGTAGAACGGATTTAGACAATTCACATGCTAACCCGATTCAAACGGTAGTCAGTAAATGCTCATCAAATTTGTTGATGGCTGAGGGTTTGTCAAAAATCCTATGAGTATTATGCGTATCTATTCTAAACAGAATGACTAATCATAATAAGGTACAAAAGTCACTAACGCATCAGCTTCACCAGTTGGTCACGTGACTTGAACAGCTAAGCTAACCTCAACTCTAGCCGAAGCTTCTATAATCATTGGAGCCTTGAACATATTTTTAAGGATGATAACTTCAGATGTTCGGCAGTTTCAGAGATAGTAGCTGTATCAGCACCAACGGCTGGTCCTACAATCAAATCTCGCACAAAGATCTCAACCTGGCGAGCATCCAATGCATACTTAGCTCGCTCTTCCCAAGACTCCAACGAGTATAAGATTATAAACTGCTTCTTCCCTTACACTCCAATGAGTATATGAGTATAAAATGTATCTTCTTGAACCTCTAATGGGTATACGAGGTTAAACTAATTCCCAAAACTCTAAGGAGTATATGAGTATAAACTGATTCTCCGCGCTCCAACGCCTTAAGAGCTTAAACTGTGTAGATTCCAGCTAACGTATGAGTCTAAATTATATTCACACCAATCAACACATTGTAATGAGAGTCAATGCCGATTAATGCGTTGCAATGATAGTCAACGCCTGTCAACGCATTTTAATGAAAGTCAACATCGGGCAACGTGTTACAAATGAAAGTCAACACCGACCAACACGTTACAAATGAAAGTCAATGTTGATCAACGCATTGCAAATGATAGTCAACACCGATGAACGTGTTACAATGGAGGTAATACTGGTCAACGCATTGTAACGAAGGTCTATGCCGGTCAACGCGTTAATGATTTTCACTGAAATAAGGCTCGGGATGAGATTTTAGGTCAAAAGGATAATCCTGAGAAGTTCAATTGTGATTCAGATACAAATTTTTGATGATGATGATCAGTTTAACATTGATTCAATGACATGAGCTAAATTCAGAAATCAATACACCAACTTCATTTTAAGATTTCGATGACGGTCAGACGATAAACGCAACACCTGAAGAATTTTGGCTATTCGACAAAATACTGAATAGACTGAAGCTAAAGAAGTCTAAGAATTAAAGGTTGGGCCCATCATATCCAAAGAATTTTAGTATTTTCTATAAAAGAATAAGGCTGAAACACTTTGAAGAGGGTATCTATAGGCGTCAAATTGCCTATAGGTCCCCGCACGCAGCTCGAGATGAAAAAAGATGATGAACGTCATTATCCAATTCAAAGAGGATTATCAAATGCTGTAGAGAAGCTAACAAGCACATGAAGCGAGTCGGTGAAGTGTACGAGTCAACATAATACGTGAAACGGCAAAACAACAAAGAAACAACTCAGCCAGGAGCTGTGTTTTGCCCAAAAGGGGCAAAATACCATGTGTGTCTCACCCACACCATGTGTGTCTCACCCATGAGAAGTTGTAGGTCTCTTTTCTAGCTTTCTAATGTATCTTGAATCACCTTATTTCAAGATCAGAGGAGAGAGTTGGAGCCAAAATACCGAAGAAAGTACAAACTGTCTTGCACATGTGCGAGATACCCCAAACTTTCTCGCACAAAGAACTAAAATTTTGGTCATGATTCGATTTGATTCTGAAGAAGCTCAAAAAACAAAGATTGTAGATTTTTTCCGTCATCTTTCCAACACAACTTGAATCACCTCATTTTGAGGTCAGACTTGAGAGTTAGAGCTAAAATACCGAAGATAGTACAAACTAACTCGCACATGTGCGAGACACATCAAACTGTCTCGCACAAAGAACTTAAATTTTGACCATAATGTGATTCAATTCTGAAGAAACTTAAAAGACAAAAGTTGTAGGTTTTTTCTTTATCTTTCCAATGCAACTTGAATCACCTTATTCTGAGGTCAGATGAAAGAATTAAAGCCAAAATGCCAAAGGTAGTATAAACTATCTCGTACATGTGCGAGACACCCCGAACTGTCTCGCACTCGGGACACATTTTTAATGGTTTTTGATCAGTTTTGATGGTTCCAGAGCCTCCCTAATTGCTTTGAGGCTATCCCTAAATGTGGTTAAGCAGTTATTAACTAAGGATAAGGTCAAATCATCATCTCCTATCCTAAAACGCTACATCCGAAGCCTATAAATACAAGCTAAGGGTCTTATACACGGGAGATCTAATATAAGAGGCAAGGTGTTGTCAAATTGAAGAGTGAATCACGAATTTTAGAGGAGGGCTAGCGATATCTTGGCGAACTCCAGCATAAAGAGGGAGCTATTCGAAGGATCTGAGGCTCGTTTCATCATTCCTTGAGATCAGACTTTGTTTTGATCTCGAAAAGAGTAGTAATCTTACTTCGTTGAGATTATTTACTTCTGCGATTGTTTTCTTTGTGAAGCAAAAGTATTAAACTTTTGTTCTGTTAACCGGATCTGATCCGTGATGATCCACGGATAAACCCCGGCACAGGCAAATATCCAATGCAAGCAACGGGTGATAAACGTCCTCTGCGTGTGTTTCTAGAGAGTTGTATTTTTCTTATTTTCATTGTGTAAGAAAGTCTTATAAAAAGACTAACTTTACTTTGAATATGTAATCAATAAACGTGTAATGGATTCAGTAACGAAAACAACTTTCGATGCAAACAACTATCTATTGTGATAATCAGACAACGAGTGTTGTGGCAGCGAACTCGTTGTTCAATGGAAAGAAACAGACTATCCGTCTGAAGCATGGCTATTTGAGAGAACTCATCTGCCAAGGAGTAATCTCTGTGATTGACGTCCGGTCTTCAGAAAATGTGGTTGATCTTTTGACTAAAGGTCTGAAAAAATGACATAATTGAAAGGGCATCTGCTGGAATGGGTCTCAAAGTTTTGTGCTGGTTCAAGTCTCTGCGATACCATGCATCTATCTTTTATTCAGTTGGTCTAAGGGGGATTCAAGTCCTTGCGATATCTACCTTATGCACAACGATTAAAACAATGGCACCATTACACGATACTAGTTTAAAAACTTATGGGGGATTGAGCCTACCTTATTCGTGCGTGTATATATATATATATATATATATATATATATATATATATATATATATATATATATATATATATATATATATATATATATATAGTATATATATATTATATATGTGAGCAAAATGGTCAGATTGGTATATTTTTGTAGAAGTTTTTGTGACATGTTGGTATATTTTCTTTTAGTTTTGTCAGATTGGTATATTTTGTCGACTCCGCGCATATAGGCCTTAAGTTTGGCCGGAGTTACTGTTCTGATCAGTGCTGACGGGATTTCTTGCATAAAACCCCCTCATTAAAACGCCCATCACATGCTCCTTAACCGCCTGCCCTCCATCTCCGCCTGCTCCTCTGCTCCCCCTCCTCCCCCTCTCCCTCCTCCTCCTCATCCTCTTCAACCTTCCCCTCTCCCTCCTCCTCCTCATCCTCTTCCTCCTCCTCATTAGACTCTTCCTCCTCTTTGCCAACCGCACCCCAATTCTCAAAGGTCCTGTCAGCTTTTCCACCAAAATTGCCCCCAAAACCCTCCAACTTGCCCTCTTGAACCAACCCCAATCCTCCCAATTACTCAATTCAGCACAAGGAGCTTCAATTGAGCCTTGGATGAGATGCAAGACATCGGATTGCAGTTGGTATTGTGAAAGGGTTGAGGTATTTGCACTTTGAGTGTAGCCCAAGGATCTTGCATCATAGGTTGAAGCCAGTGAATGTGATATTGGATGTGGGTTTTGAACCGAGATTGGGGGATTGTGGATTGGGGGGATTGCTTCCTGCTCGAGTCGATGCTTTGGGCTGTGAGTGTTATGTTACTCTAGAGTGCTTCCAGAGTTGTAGGTAAAAACTTTAAATGTTATTAGCATTCCTCATCATCAAGCCCGTGATCCCAGCCCAAATTTAATAATGAGGAGGAAGAGGATGATGAGGAGGAGGGAGAGGGGGAGGTTGAAGAGGATGATGAGGAGGAGGAGGAGGGGGTTTGGAGCATGATGGGGTTTTAATGAGGGGGTTTTATGCAAGAAATCCTGTCAGCACTGGTCGGAACAGTAACTCCGGCCAAACTTAAGGCCTATATGGCGCCGGAATCGACAAAATATACCAATCTGACAAAACTAAAAGAAAATATACCAACATATCACCAAGTCTCTACAAAATATACCAATCTGACCATTTTGCCTATATATACGTGTGTACATATCCAATCTAATATTAATATATTTAATATCCACATCTATGAATGAAGATATGCTTGAGTTTTTGGTGGGCTGCTTTATATGTGGTTCACGAAATCTTACTGACTCTTCACCATCCAACTACCAGACACTTTGGGGATTCCGGGACCCAGACAACACACAGGTGTCAGTAGGCATGCCCATCATATCCTATAAGAAGCGTCTCACTCTCACCTCTCCTTCCAAAGATTGAATCATAAAGTTTCAATAATTTCCATGGAGGGAGCATTTAATGATCGGCAAGGAGACAAGTATAGATCTCATTTATATGGAGACGGAGAGAAAGAGACTCAGTGGAGGTTTGGTTCTCCTCCCAAGTATGATGTTGTAAACAAGCTCTTTGAGCAAGGAAGAACCAAGGTGAACTGATTCTGCTCTCTCCCCATTCAAAAATCCTCTCTTAATTTCTTTCTGTATGTTGGTTTGCAAGGAAATCAGTATTTTTAACAATTATATAGTATATATTGATTTTCTTTAAAATATCTCATACCCAACTATATATGTAATTGAGTGTCGTTAATTAACTAGAGATATATACTCATGATTGGGTAGTCATCTATGTCCTCTAAATTATTTCTTTTATTTTTTTAAACTTTCTGAACTACTTTCTATTAAGGCAACAAGGTAATATTTATTGAGAGATGCAGAGGGTGCTTAAGTGCCAATAAAATAAAATAAAAAATTATGGGGGTGTAACTAGTTGTGTAGTTACACGGTGTCTAGATGTCTCACAGGATACCCGTGGATTTTCTACTTTAATTTATAGGTATCTTTATTTATTTATTTATTATTAGCTTAGGTCACCATAAAAATTAGGATATATAGGACTTTAATAAGAAGGATAAAATTATAAAATTATCTATATAGATCTTAAGCACAACCATGATAAATGGGTCATCACTGAAAAAAAATTTGCTCTTGTCACTAGGTGTAAATAGGCAACATAGTACAAAATGTATTTGAAATTAATAACCTTTTAACAAATGATAAAAAGATTTTGTACAAAAGAAAATGACATTTTTCTTACGACATTTCAAATTATCATGCAAATATTATTTTATTAATTTATTATAATTATTGTTTGATCTATAATTCTATATATCATGCAAATATTATGTTATTGATTTATTATAATTATTTGCAGGAATGGCCCAAGGGGTCATTAGAGGAGACAGTGCAGAATGCCATAAAGACATGGGAGATGGAACTCTCTCACAAGACCCGCATTCAGGACTTCAAGACTATCAACCCAGAAAAATTCCGTTTTCTCATTAATGGTAATAAATTTTTTTAAAGAATTTTTTGTTATACTTTTTGTTTATCGGACCAAAGTTTTGAGAATAATTATATGTAGTCCCGAGGGCATAAATTTCATCAAATCCCCCTAGGCTTGGTAGTTAGTTTTTCCTTTAATTATTACAATGTTTCGAAATTTCACTTTAATTTCAATATGCTTTGTCAGAAAACTCTCAAAACTAACATCGTCAATTCAAATGTATCACTTTCAAATCAACTATGGAGCTACTGTCAAAGTATGAATTACCCCATCTTTAAAAAAAATCCCTCAATCCCCATAATTTGGTATTTCTAACATTAATTATACACTACAGGAAGAAAGGGGTTATCAGGAGAGGAGACCCTGAAGCTAGGGAGTTATAACGCGTTACTACAAAGCTCGCTGCCGGAAGAGCTACAGTGCTACATGGCAGACAAGGAGACATTTGAGACATCGCACGATGTTTTCCACACGGCATTCCCCCGAGGGTTCGCGTGGGAGGTGCTAAGGGTGTACACAAGGCCGCCGGAGATTGCCTTCAAGTTCCGGCACTGGGGGTTCATGGAAGGGCCTTACAAAGGCCATGCACCTACCGGAGAGATGGTTGAGTTCACCGGTCTTGCTGTTATGAAGGTACGTAAGGTACTACTATACACTCATTGTGGGTTTCAATAAACAATGGTCTGTGTATTTTGGGCTTAAGAATGAATATTATTGTTAAATTGGTATTATCGAGAACTACACACCAGATGATTAGAATTATAGGATATATATACACAATACACACTAGGAAGCGGTGGCTACACACTAGGAGGCGGCTGAGGCGGCTATAGGGTGGCTGGTATGATATTTTCTGGCACCCCCTTCAAACTCGTGGTGGATCGAACACCAAGAGTTTGGACAAGAAATAGCGAAACGCGGAAAGAGTTTGAGCCTTTGTAAATAAATCTGACACTTGTTCCTTAGGGAGAATATATGAGTGTGTAATGTTTCCAACAACATACTCCTGTCGAACCATATGACAATCCATCTCAATATGTTTGGTACGCTCATGAAATACCAGATTTGTAGAAATGGAGATTACACTCTAATTATCATAGTATAAAGTGATAGGGAAAGTAACAAAGATATCAAGATCTCGTAGAAGAGTGCGAAGCCATTTCGGTTCAATTGTGGTGTCTGCCAACACCCTATACTCGGACTCCGTACTAGAACGAGAGACAACGATTTGATGCTTACTACGCCAAGAGATGAGATATGAACACAGAAAAATACAAAAGCCAGTAGTGGAACATCGAGTGTCTGCATCATCAGCCCATCCAGCATCAGAATATGCATGAAGAGACAAAAAAGAGTCTAAGGGAAAAAATATTGATTGGGTTATAGTGCCACAGAGATATCGAAGAACCCGAATGAGAGATGCATAGTGAATGGAAGTCGGACTACTGACAAACTGGCTCAAGATGTGTACTGCATAGGTGATATCCGGACATATTGCTGAAAGATAAACCAATGCTCCGACAAGTTCCCGATATCGAGTAGGCTGAGATAAGGGATCGCCATCATCATGTCGAAGCTTCAAGTTCATTTCCATCGGTGTGGAGAGAGGAGTGGTAGCAATGGAAGGATCACTGAGAGTAGCACACTCAAGAATGTCTGTAATGTACTTTTGCTGAGAGAGAAGATAACCACGAGAGGAGGAAGCAACCTCAATACCCAAGAAGTAATGAAGGAATCCAAGATCCTTCATCTCAAATTGTCTCTGAAGATATTGCTTTAAGGAAGTAATTGCAGAGGAATCACTCCCAGTGATTATCATGTCATCAACATAAACTAATAGAATGACTGTACCAGAGGTCAAGGACTGATAAAATATAGCTTAGTCAGCTACGCTTTCAATGAAACCAATAGAAAGAATGGATTGCCGAAAACACTCAAACCAAGCCCAAGGAGCCTATTTGAGACCATATATAGCACGACGAAGGTGACAGATATGTCCTGGAGGAGAAGAAAAGCCAGTAGGTGGTTGCATGTACACTGTCTCAGACAAATCGCCATTAAGAAAAGCATTTTTAACATCCATTTGGTACAGAGGCCATTATTTTGCAATTGCAATAGCAATGAGAGTGCGAATGGATGTTATTTTTGCAACAGGAGCAAAAGTTTCTTCATAGTCAATACCATACTCTTGTGAGAATCCCCGAGCTACAAGGCAAGCTTTATATCGCTCAATAGAACCGTCAGATCGAGTCTTGACCTCATAAATTCATTTGCAGCTTACCGGTTTAACACCGGAAGGCAAAGGAACAAGGTCCCTAGTATTAGTCTGATGAAAAGCCTCCAACTCTTCTGTCATTGTTTGTTACCATTCGAGATACTTAACTGCCTTAGAATATGAGTTAGGTTCATGTATAGAGTGAATAGCAGCAAGAAAAGAGACAAACTCAGAAGAATGTGTGGTAGTGATACATTGAGCATACCGAGCAGGGGGGGTGATGATCTCGTGGAGGATTGCGGTGAGGAGGAGTCACATCAGGAGAAGCTAGCATAGATGTAGAGGGGACATTAGTAGGAGTATCTTGAAGTAAAGGGGATGTAGTAGGCGGATGTCCAGAAGGTGTGGATGAATCAAGAGCGCTATCATTTGATGCCATTAGAGTAAAGGAGGGAGTCGGTGGAGCACACGAAGCTACAGGTGCCACTGATACAGGTTTAGTAGTGGAAGGTAATGAAGGGGGTTGAAGAAAGGAGAGATCTGAATCTGAGGTAGTATAATAGGAAATATTTTCAAAGAAGGTCACATGACGGGCAATACGAAGCCTTCGAGTGGTAGGTTCATAACAACGATACCCCTTGTGAATGGTGCTATAGCCAAGAAAGATACATTTGCAGTGCGTGGAGATAGTTTATCTCATTCATGAGTTGGAAGTAGGACAAAATAGACACATTCAAAAGTGCGTAGAAGAGAATAGCAAAACTGAGACTTGAAAAGTTGAAAATATGGAGAGGTGTCAGCTAAAACAGAAGATGAGTAATATTGATAAGATAAACAGTAGTCAGAAGTGCTTCTGTCCAGAGATATCGAGGTACAGATGCTGATATCAGAAGAGATTTAGTGGTGTCAAGATTGTGATGATGTTTTCTCTCAGTAACACTATTTTATTCATGAGTCTGTGGACAAGACTGCTGAGAGAGAGTGCCATGTGATTTTAAAATAGATTACATTGCCGAAGAGATATATTCACAGGCATCATCAGAGAAAAATATCTTTATACATTTATGGAACAGGGTGTGAATCATATTTGTAAAGTCTTTATAAATATTTAAAATATCAGAATGAGTACGCATGAGATATACCCAGGTGTAGCGGGAATAGTCATTAATAAAACTGACATAATATCGATAACTGGACAATGATGGTAATGGGGTAGGTCCCCGGATATCAGAATGAATCAAATCAAATGGGGCTAAGGTAATTTTATTACTGGATGAAAATGGTAGGACAATTTATTTAGCTAATCGACATCTAGTACAGTTTGATAAAGTAGAGAATTTTAAATTTCCTAATACACCTGATTCAGATAAAAGTTTTAAGCGAGAACCAGAGATATGACCTAAGCGACGATGCCACATATCAGAAACAGAGAGCCCATGACCAATGTTGGATGGAGTGGAAAGATGTAGAGTCTCTAACTGATAAAGTCCATTAACTCTAGGTCTTGTCCTAATCTTTTGGCTAGTGTGATCCTAGACAACACAAGATTTAGCATTAAATAAGATAGTGCAACCAAAATTTGCAATTTTCCTAATGGATAAAAGTTGCATAGATAATTTAGGAATATGAAGAATAGATAATAATGTTAGACGATCAGAACTATCATAACTTGGAGTAATATCACCTAACTGAGAGACTACAAGGGGAGTGTCATTAGCAATATAAATGCATAATGAAGAGGGAGCAGGTAAACAATTTGTAAGAATAGAGTTATCAAAGGTCATATGATGAGATGCACCTAAGTCGAATATCAAAGGAGTAGAAGTACCAGAATGAGCAGACAAGACGGTAAAATCTGAGCTGGAGGCAGTTCCACTTAGCCCAAGATTCTTGGTTATTAATGCGGTAATCTCTGACAACTGCTCAGAAGAGAGAGGGCTAGAAGTCTGTGAAAGTACCCTAATGCCACTAGGAAAGAACCCTAGAGGGGGGGATGAATAGGGTTTATGCTAATCTAATCCGATTTAATAACAATTAAAAACTTATAAACAAATATCCTAGCAAATAAGATATGCAATGAGATATATGCAAGGATAAGCAATATAAACAAGGGTAAATATGCAATGAGATATATGCAAGGATAAGCAATATAAACAAGGGTAAACAAATAGTGTAAACAATATAGTAGACAAACTAAATAATGAGACAATGTAAGCAATATAAACAAGGGTAAACAAATAGTGTAAACAATATAGTAGACAAACTAAATAATGAGACAATGGCGATATGAGCAATGAGCACAAGTATAAATGAACACCAATGCAAACTCAAACACAATCAAATGATCACAGAATTCGGACCTTCTGTCCTACGTCTCCGCTCTCCACTCTCGGGGAGAAATCCACTACACAACCGGGTTTTCAACGCTCACCCGAATAACGTTTTACACCTCACGGGGAGAAATCCACTACACAACCGGGTTTTCAACGCTCACCCGAATAACGTTTTACACCTCACAACTCGGTTTTCTAGCTCACCGAAAACTTTACAATCACTCACAATGTAAACACACTAACTACCACCTCAAGTGTTGGTCTCTAGCACGTGTCTCCCTCAAATGTTAGGAATTACAACCTCTCTCTAGGCATTATCACCTACCCCACTCCTCTTGGGACGATCCCGTCTCTCATCACACACTCCTCTTGGTGTACTAGTGTATTACAAGGTGAATCTCATAATTAAGCACTTAAATCAACAAATGATTTGTTCTCTAAACAAGGTGAGAACACAATATAAGCTCACACTCTAAGTCACAAACCCACAACCCAAATTATACTATGAATGTAAATACAATAAGCTCAATAGGTTGTGTGTGAACAAAGAGATAAATAAATCAAAACTAAACTCAATGTGTGTGAACAAAGAGATAAATAAATCAAAACTAAACTCAATGTAAATCTAGCTTATGAAAATTAAGTTTAAACATATAAATAGCTATAAATAGAGTTTAGAAAAACTTCTCTATAGATCAAGAGAAAGAGGGAGAAGAGTTGGATGCTCAAACACAATAGATTATATCCACTTGCTCTTGTGAAATTCTCTTCACAAACAAAACTCTTAAACACTCTTTTAAACAAACTAAAACAAACTTTAAACCCTTGTTAAACTTGTTTAAAATATTTCTTGATTATTAAAATAGAGCTGGGTATAAGGGGGTATTTATAGGAAACCCCAAAGATCAAGAAACCCCAGCAAAAAGATCAAAAAACTAAAACATGACTAAGACTGAAAAAACTAGCCGTTATGCCATCAGTCGACTGACGGCTTCCATCAGTCGACTGATGAGCTGACCGTTAGAGGCATTTTCTAGCTCATCAGTCGACTGACGACCTTATCATTCGACTGATGATCTCATCATTCGATTGGTCAGTCGACCAAAACAAAACAGAAACTTTTTGATATTCCAGACGATTTCTTTAGTCGACTCATCAGT